CCTGACCTCCTTACCACTATCATCTTTCATTCGTCCGTGCACCATCGCTCTTGAGCATGTACACACGCACACACATACACACACAAACTAACTTGAGGTATCTTCAAAGTCATTAAATGTTATATATGTAGAACGCTGACAAATGCTTGGTAATAACCGCTGGAGAAAAGAGAGAGATAGAGAGAGAGAGAGAGAGAGAGAGAGAGAGAGAGAGAGAGAGAGAGAGAGAGAGAAAGAGAGAACTTGATTCGTTAAAACTTGTAACTGCGTGTATGCGTAAAAGCACCTAATTCATTTTCCAAAGGCAAAAATGATTTTCACAGCGAAGAAGAGCATCATAATCGCGCAGCTCAGCACAGCAAAGAGAAAGTCCAAGTTATGCATTTTTACCGAATGAAATTTGCACTTATGCACAAACATGTAGCAGAGTTTGCATAGCTCAGACTTTCGACTGCGTGCATTCGTATGTACAATGTACAAGTGCAACTATCCGTAGCCAAATAATTTTCAATTAGCCCGAAACAGATAAGGCACGCGGTCTGGTGAAAGAGTGAAAGTGCAAAATCATCGGCGATGTGTCATCGGTTGAATTGATCGATAAACGAAGCGAGCGGGAGAGAGGCAACAGGAAAAACGACGATGGAGCACGAGGTGACGGATTCGGAGGGCGTCTTCTCGCGTCGCCTCATGAACAATTGGGCCGAGCTGCCCCAGACGCTGAGAAAGAAGCAAAAGCACCGGCCCGACATACTCAGCCAGTTTACCGATTTGTCAGAGTCGGAGTGCGAGTATCGTCGCGGCGACAGCGGCAGCAGCATCATTAGTAGTCACTATCAAGTCAATAATAACAATAATTACTGCCTGAACAAGCGAGTGGTTAAACGCTCGGAATTTTTAAGACGCTTGGAAAATCGAAATTTGCTTCATCTGCAGCAGCAGCATTTGTCGCAGCAACCTCAGTCATTACCTATAATCCAGCAGCAGCAGCAATCCAGACGATCGATGCCCGACTACAGATTGCGCTACGAAGCCAAAGACATCAGACGTCGCAGTTTAGTGAATTTAGAGACTAACGGCAATTCGCACTTCAACGACATGAAGTACAGCGGTAAATTGCAGCCAGCTTCGGACGACGAGCGCAAAACTAACTCACCGGACAGTCTGCTGGTCAGATCGTCTGAATCGGAATCCAGCATGAGCGACGAGTACGGACACACCGACGATTCCGGTGCATTTTTGGAGAAGACCCGCGAGCCCCAGTCCTTGCCCTTCAGACATCGTTTCGCCAAATTTTTCACCAAACAGAGCAGTGGAGACGACGCACCGGAAAGCCACAAAGTCAAAACCGACCTCAATAAGAATGACACGAAGCAGCAGCAGCAGCAATCGAAAAAAGAAACCAACGGATTCGGTCAGAGATTCGAGTACGAAAATATACCGAGAATCGACATAGCCAAACTCGAGCAGCGAAGTTCTAATGCATGGAAGTCAAATAGTTTGCTGGAACAGCCAATGACGATCGAACAGCTGCGCATAGAGGAGGGCTGTCAACTGCGAAATAGACGAAATTCCGCCCACTCGACCATCTTCGATCAGACAAGAGGCTCCGAAGAGACGAAAATAATCGAAGAATATTATGACGTCGCAGAGGGCAGAAAAGTCGCGGATGACAGTAATAAAAAATCCTTAAAAACTGAAACGATTAAAGAGGATAAAGATAGTAAACTCAGCGTAAGAGAAATTTTAAAAAGATTCGAAGAGCTGAGGTCGCAAAACGAATCCCAAGCGAGCGATGAAAAATCCAACGACCGCACGTTGACAACGATTCAAGAAACTTTGCAGAAACTCGACGAAAAAGTCAAAGGATATCAGGTGATTATTAGTAAAAAAAACGACTCGCGCTGCGTAAAATATCGTCGTGAATAAATACCTCCTGCGCGTATGTGTAAATCTTTTGCCGCGATCGTATGTTTCTATAGACACCTTTCACTATGGAATATGTGAAATTGAGAACGGAAGCGTCGCTTTTGCAGTTCGTCTTTTATAATTCCGGGCTTCCAATACATAAACACACGTACGTACAAGGTATACCCGCGGACACACACAAGTGCGCAGTACCAGCAAAAAAGATCCAATTTTCTCTTGGCTTTTTTTTTCAACTAGAAGAAGAACTGACGCGTATGAGAAACGTGAGCAAATTGAGGCGACGAGGTCATTATACACATTATAATATGAACTGCAGTTTCCATATGCCGCGCAGTGTGTGACAAAGTAAGGGCATTTCTTCTTTTTCCTATTCATTGCGGTTCATATATTAATTGCGAGCGAGCGTGTGACCAACTACGATTTGTATTTTGTTCCTGCCCTTGGGAGATCAAAGTGTATACGTTTAATTAATTGGCTCGCAGCTATTAGATATGTACGAGTGCGTGTTTTCAATCTAACTGACGATTTTTCAGCAGCAACGCAAAGAAGCTGCAGTGCATTCTCGTGGCTTGCTACTCAAAAGAGGAGAACTCTCTGCTGTGTTTACCTCCCGCGACTATGCGTAACTGCCGGTAGGATAAGTCGAGCTATATTGCACTCTTCTGCGATGTAATTACAAGCACTCGATATGCGCGCGATAATTCATAGCTCGAGCGAGTAATAGCGGCGTCAAATTAAACTTCCAAGCACGATTCGTGAATACATTATCGTAAAATTATGCTCGCATCTCGCAGATTCACATGATGACAGGTCGTGGATAGAAAAATCATATGCGTATGAGCGTGCAATTAACTTGTAAATGGACGAATGTCCGATCGGGAGATTTGCGCGGAATGTATGAAATTGTTTACGACACCGAATGAGAGTACGGACGCGGGTTGACGACCTCACCGAGTTCTGCGAGTAAAGACGGCCACTTGCCTTTTGCTTTTATTTTCTTCTTCTCTTGCGCATACTCTGCTTGCTCAACGAGGTGCCACACTTTTACGATCTTATTATATGCATAGCGACTATGATCGTCTGTTGCATTGCAGTGTTACAATGTTTTATGAAAAATGCGACAAATACCTTTCACAGCTAATTTGCCAAATGCTACGCGTATCGACTTTTTTTCGGAAAAAATTCGTTATTGTAACAAGGAGTGCCATATCCTCTTATGCTTGACAATCTTTCAACATTGGAGTGCGGTTTCATCGGGTTTAAAGTTAATCCATGAAACCTAGAGATGTGTCAGTCCCGGTGCATTTTTAATAATCGCACGCATTTGCTGATTTTTTTTTCCTACTCAACTCTCTACCAATTGGAATTATTTATTCATCGGCGGGCTTTTCTTTAATTCATGCATTGCCTATATAGTGTGATTTCGAAGTTATGTGCGCACACGGACGCTTTTTCTCATGTGTCATTACGTTCAGCGAGTATTTCATTAGCGTCTTTACGGGGGAAAGAAAGAAAAAGAAAAACACGCAGACGAATCGCAAAATCCGCTGTGCGAGCAAAGTACCGCTCTCATTACACATCTCTTTTCTCTCTCTTTTTCTCCCTCTCTCTCTCTCTCTCTCTGCATGCAAAAAACCAACGACTCACCTGCGCGAGTCTTGATATAACTGTAACTCTCGAGCGGGTTCGCATATATCGTACGCGTGTGCAAACTATAATGTAGGTCAGGGTCGGCTTTAGACTCTTATGTTTGTGTGCGTGTGTGCATGGGGGCTTTTTTATTCTAAATTTATTTTAATACACGAGCACGATAGTATGAGGAAAAAATATCTCTCATGTTTTGATTCAATAACGCGTGCAATGACTGAATCCGTGACAATGACCCATTCGAGAAAAATGATGAAAATCACCAATTCTGATATTTATACATTCCAAAACGCATTCGTTTAATCACCGTAATCGTCATTTATAACTATCTGGAAAGTTAAAGTATTCACGCGAGAAAGAAGAGCTAATGAAATACTCGTTCGTCTAGAAAATTTACTCCATGCTATATTTTACTTTCTGTAGCCTTTGTCGTTGCATACATCATTGCGATCATCGCGCAGTTACAACCCTGCACAATATTACGAGTTCCTATGTAAGAGGCCTTGACACGTGTTTTTAGAAATCGTTAAATATTGTTGTACACAGACAATTTTTTTATTGAGGTTAAATAATTTAATTAGGACCATACCTCGGAACTTGTCATACTTTTGTTTCTAAAGACATATTAGAGGGAAAAATCGACAAGAGATCGGCATACTATGTAGAGAAAGAGCGAACGTTACATTGGCTTTGCGTCACGTATCTCTTCAGTGTGCGTTGATATGAAAAAAATCGAAAAAAGTATCAGCTCATAGTTGCAGCTTATGTAACAATGATTTAGTTGAAGTACGTAATGAAGCTCGATCGAAGCTTGACTCGGTGCGAGATATCATCGGCTTCGATTCTATTTTTTTTAAAACTCTTTATTCTCTACAGTAATGAATTTTTTCCCTTGACACGATGCAGAATGAGAAAATTATGTGTGTAGAAGTCGTGTAACGCACGAGTTGCGATTTAGGTATTTGAAAAGTTTTGCACAAAAAGCCAAGCACACGAGAAATTCAGCTCACTGGGTTGAAACCTTGGGAGCGCTAAACATTTAGCACACGATAAGTCGGGCTTTTTCTTTCCATCTGTGTACACTTTGCATTCGTACACATACACGCAGAAAAGGAAATGAAATTTCCAACATTCTTGGTTGTTCGACACACTTCATATTTTACTATTGGAACACAGTTAGAGAAATTAATTATTTTGCTCTTCTATTTGGATTGGGTAAAGAAAGGAGTGTTTAAGTGGAATGTATATCTACAAGTGCCCATGATTATTTGTAGCTCAGAGCTTTTACTCGAAAATTAAAATATTGGACTGTAAGTTTAAGTAGTCGTAACGCGCCATCGCATTAACGTCGAGTCAACCGCGTAGCATCACTCGTACGAAGAGAAAAGTAAATTAAAAATTTACTAACAAAGAAATTATTTTTTCAGGTCGAGCAAAAAGCCTCAACGAAGAACCATCGGGACAATCATGTCACGCAAATCGGCAAATCCATCGTCTCTCAAGCCAATCACGAGCGATCGATGCACACCGTACATCCGTACGGCATGGATCAGCAACAACTGCGTAACGGCGGCTCGAGCAACGGCATTCATTATCAGAAGAACGGCAAAGCTCATTCGCCATCGCCGCAACAGCAGCAGCAGCAGCAGATGATCCAGCAGGAATGGCAGCGCAACAACGGCAACGACCTAACCGGACGCAGCGAGGATGGATTGTACGACGCTGGCCAGCAGCAGCAGCAACCGGTCGTCAACGATGGCAAACATTCGCTTTTGCAGTACGCCATGCTCAATTTCCGACAGAGCACCGATAAGTAAGTTTTTGCACCAGAAATATTGAGGGGGAGAGCATTTGAAAGTGCCGGTCAGCGAGTCACGCGCACACGACAACTCCGCGCACACATGTAAAGACACGAGACAAAAATTCATCACTCGCTATAGGAGTATTAAATGGCTGAGTCGTTGAAGCGCGTATATAATAGGCAGCTGTAGCGTAACTCAATTACGTTTCCCACACGAGCGCCGGCATACAAGAATGAGAGAGAGAGAGAGAGAGAGAGAAACGAGAGAAATGTAGGTATAACTTTTTCCCGGTCTTATGCGTCAGGCTGTTAGGCGCGGGCGCGTCTCATTAGTATACGATATTAGTCTCTCGCGCCTCGGAAAATGTCACTCACTGGCCATAAGTCGACTGCGAGCTCCCACGCGCAATCGTCGCTCCACGTCCCCGCGCGAGCTTGATTCAAAGGAAAGAAAGTTGGTTAGGCGATGCGAGTGCGCCGCGCGATTTCGCCAGTGTCCAGATCACGCGACTTTCGATCTTATTTTTTCTCTATCAACGGCGCGGACTACGAGAAACGAAAGTTTAATCGCGATGAAAAAAAGCTCGCTCGCTCGTCGGCGAATTAAAAGCGCGGGCGCTGTTCGCTATGTACCGCGCCGAACAATTACAGAGTATAAACCTATGTACCCAGTCCCTTTTAGTTGGGCAAAAAAAAATTACGAAAGCACGTTCGCAGTTGCGTGCGTGAGATTTTGTGCGCGCGAACCGCAAGAGAAGATTTTCTGAGAGTGCAAGAGCCGAGCTTCCTCGAACGCCAGCTATGTTATTTTCCAAAGTTACGCGATGTTTATAGATGTAGCGGTTACGAGATACACGCAGATGATTGAAGGCTTTCAAATAAAGACATCTTCGTCATGTGCATGATATATGTACACACACACACACACAGTGGCACGCACGCAGGCGACCCGTGTGTTTGCCGAGTGGTGTCGGTCCAGCCGTGCGAGCCTCTAATGTATTTAACGGTATACCTGGAAAGTAGACGTCTGTACACATGTGTTTTTATCTATCTACCTATATAATATATATATATATATATAATGTAATGATGCGCGAGCTCGCTCGACCTGAATTTTCGGTAATTATAATACGCGATCGTTTCCTCCGCTGCATGGTCATAATTCAAATAAAACTTTTTTTCTTCCCGTCTCTGCTATTATAGGTTCGAAATGCTGAAAACCGCGGACGGCTCGATCAACGGCTCGCTCAAAGTTATCGAATCGCTCAAAGGTAACAAGAAAAAAGGCAAGAAGAGCAAGGGTCAGGACAGCACCGAGTGGACGTGGAAGGAGCAGGTGGACCTGGTTAAATTCTCTGCGGTGCCGATCGAGCAGAGCCTGCTGAGACTGGACAACGAACTGAGCGGCTTGGCCGTCGAGTGCTTCTTCTGCTTGATGCGCTACATGGGTGACCAACCGTTGCCACCCGACATGAGCGAGGTCAAATGCGTCTACACGATACTCATGGTACGTATATACGCGCGTTCGCGTTTCGAGCCCGGAAAGAGAGAGGGCAATTTCCAAATACGCGGTGAAAGCTGTAGCATGCCGTGCTAACTTCACTTTCTGATTTTTCTCGCCGATGACGATCCTCCTCGTACGCGTCTATTTTGCGATATTACTCAAGGAGCCTGCATATTAAATTGTCCACTTTGACACTCGTCTATTTTTGCAATAATATGAAATATACCAATTGCGACGGACTTGATTGGCGCGCAAAAAAATACACGCAACTAGTAACTAACGAGATAAATCGTAATTGAATTGACACCAAAGTTTATATAGACTTAGTGATAAAAATTAGCCAGATGTGCGCAGACCCATAAGTCGGCTTTTTCCCCACAGCACTGCCATAAATTCGAGCAGCTCCGGGACGAGGTATTCTGCCAGTTGATGAAACAAACGACCAACAACAAGAGCCCGAACCCCGAGTCGTGCCAGCGAGGCTGGAGACTCTTCAGTATCGTCGCGGCTTATTTCACCTGCAGCGAGGGTCTGCGGCCCTACCTCATCAAGTACCTCGAGACAGCGGCCTACGACAAGCGGCGGGCTTATCACGGCACCGCGACGGTATGCCTGCAGAATCTGCGCAAAACCGTTAAATACGGCGGCCGCAAGAACGTGCCGAGCGTCGAAGAGATCATGGCCATCAGCGCCGGCAGGAATGCCAAGCGACAAATTTACAGACTGCCCGGGGGTACCGAGCGAGTCATCAATACCAAGTGTACGACGGTCGTGCAGGTGAGTGAAAGTTTCGCCAAACCTATACTTACACGCAGAGAGCACACAATCGAGCCGTATTCAAAGAAAGTCCACATAATGACGCCGTTCACTGTGGTGGCGTGTAAAGATCGCAAAAATTATTGAAAACTCTTTACAGGCTCTCGGAGCTGCATCTTTCCTCGATAAATCATTGATTTTCAGCACATCGGAAAATAATACGCTACGATTCATTTCAAGTTGCAATTATCATAATCAAGCTTAAGCGCGAGAGATTCTGTGTCTTTGGGCGTAGAAAGTAGTAGACGGACGAAAATTTTCCAAAGACTTTCGAGTGTTAATCGAAAATTCAATACTTTTTATTCTAGGACGTCATCGAAGAGATGTGCAATGTAATATCTGTAAGAAATCGACATGAAATGGACGAGTACTCGCTTTACTGTATTGTCGACGGTGATGCTTTTACAATGCCATTGGCCAGGGACGAATATGTGCTTGATGTTACAACGGAGTTGCACAAAAACCACCAGTTGTTCTACTTGATTTTCTGCAGGTACGAGAATCGATTGAAAGACAATGTAATAGACTGTAAAACAATTACATATCAATAATCATAAAATGTGCCATCTTTTAGATCGGTATGGCATTATCCATTACGCTTGGATGCTCCTCTCTATGTCGAAATGGTATTCAACCAAATTACACCTGACTATCTGGAGGGTCTCATGTTAGTAATCATTGATGATCAACTGCCGCAAGACGTAGTTGTGAGTACTTGTTTTTTTTAACGATTCAAATTAAAACGTGACGGGTTAATGCTGAAACGCTTTTTTTGTAGTACGACATGGCTCAAATAGCGGCTCTGCTGCACAGAGCAACCGACGTGAAAAATGAGCGAGAAGAGCCAACGACAAAGCGCATCAAATACTTATTGCCAAAATCAGCCTTAAGCCTGAGAGAACCAAGACCTCAGCAATGGACTCAAATGGTGCAGCAAGCTTGGGGAAATGTTCAGCATATTTCAATGGCTGCTTGTAAGGCTCAAGTTTTAGGTACGCTTTGGAAAATTTATTTGTCATCAAATTTTACTTTCGATTGGATTACATTTTTTTTCATTTCGTTCTCAGAGATTCTATCCAATGGTAGATGGCCATTATTTGGCTCAAGCTTTTTCGCGGTAAAAAGAATAATGGAAGGTAAAGATAAAGCAACGGATCACATTCTAGCCTTGAATCGTCATGGAGTGCATTTCATTGACCTCAATACGCACGTGAGTATAGCTCTGAATTAAGTGATGGAAGGGAAAGAAAACAAATATTAATACGATGTAATAATTTCAGGTAACTCTGTCTCACTATCCATACTCCCAAGTGATTTCAACGCGCAAAGTCAAGTCGGAGGAGGGCACTCTGTACCTCGACATGAAGCTGGGTAATCTCATGCAGTCGCGTATCGCTAGGCTGCAGACTGAGCAGGCGCACGAGATAGCTCGCCTCATTCGCCAGTACATCACGATGGAGCAGAGGATCGCGGGCAATCAAATTCCCGAGACACTGCCCATTGGTTTCGATGGTTTCAGATAGAATCACTCGCACACACATACACACAAACACACGCACACACAAACACATACACACACACACAAGCGCGAGAGTCATCAAAGATAATTAACTTACCGATCAGTTATACCGATCGCCAATTTACTCTATATATGTTGTATCTGTAAATAAACGAATAGTACTCGATTAGTTTACAAACGGGTTGAGAATTACTTGACTCGTTTTTTTTCTTTTTTTTCCTGAGATTTGTACTGATATGCGAAGTGTATGAGGATTGTAAAAATACGAGGCAAAAAATCACATTTATCCGCCGAGTGAACGATGAACAGTTAGTCTAAATAATTGTCGTTCAATCGGTGGATGCTCGTTTGTCTTCCATTAAAATTTAACATAAGACTCGAAAAAAAATTTTATAATTGCATTGTCAAAATATTCATTTTATTTTTCACATACTATTCATATGAATATAAATTTATATTTAAAAAATAAGAAGATTGTAAAATGCATTTAAAATTAAAACTTAAAAAATTTAGCAAACTAAATATTAATTATATGTATGAGACTTAAATATATTTAATACATTTGAGTTTATTTATACGTTATATAATTGATGCTATGCGAAGAGATAGTTTTATACAACATTTTTTGTATAAATTCAATATCATAAACTGTAAGGATTGCTCATTTGGAAATATAATTCATGCTAACGATCAAATTGTAATGCTAATGTATTAACGACTAACTATTTTGCAATTGTTATTTGTGATTATTAACACCATACACGTAAATTAATTGTGTAAGAATAAGTTCAACGAAGTTTAAAATATGTATTAAAATAAGATGTAACTATTTCTTTTCAGTACATCTTATATTTTGTGAAAAATTGTTAATTTCGTTTATATCCAAATTTTGTTAGTTTCAGATGTACTTTACAAAAGAAAATGTAATAAATTTTATAAAATATTTCATGGATATATTTTGTGATTTGCATACCTCTTAAAAAATTAGAAGATATCAAAAGTCGTAAAGTCATTTCATTATTCTACAAATTATGATATTTATATGAACATATTATCGAAGGTAAATGTCTAAAAAATAATCGGAGAATAGTTGTACAGACATATGCTTTCATGAATTTATTTAACATATAAATTATAAATATTTCAACTAAAAAAATTGTTACTAATAAATGTAGGAGAAACTTATCTTCAAATTAGCGGAAAAATAAGTAAACAAAAGAAGTATAAAAATACTGCAGTGATATGAGAATCAACAGGAATATAAAATAACCGTTTATTTTACAAAAACGATAGCAGTCAAAATAATATAACGACTGATACATCTAGAGCCTAGATGAAACAAATTAATTTCACCGATTTTTCTCATAGTCGTCGGCATCCTTACTTTTTAACTGCTGTGGCCAATTACTAGCCGTATGTTTGACATATCCCTGATCACTCGGTGACACGGGGGTCTTGCTGGTGGTGCCACCTACAATTTTCCGAGAGGCACTACTACCGATCCTAATGGTAGTTGGCTCAGCGATGGTAGTTCGAGTTGCGGTATTCGTCGTCGACATTCTCAGCTCGTCGAAATACTCCTCTAACATCTCGATCTCGTCCCGATCCCGCTGCGTTGTCAATTGTCGACGCTGCTGATCCGTTCCCGGATAACCTTGCAAACGACGCGGATCGGTTGAGTACGCGTCGTGCTGCCTCTTTAAGATTCCTGGAGAAGAGCCGCCACGCATTCGCGCGGGTACGTTGTCATACTGACTCGAATCTGATAACCTGCAAGCAATCCTCAGCCCCTGCTATATTTGCCCCGGAAAGTCGGGTAGAAGTGCAAAAAATGACACACAACGAATTCATGTGCGTTAAATGTGAAAATGATCACCATAAAGAACGTCTCCTGTCACATTGATGTTTTGAATTTATGAGCGAATATTTCTATTAATAACATGTATGTGCTACGTGGATAATATTGAATGACACAAAAAGCGTGGAAATTGTTTTTTGAAACAAAGTCTTGAGTATTTATCGATTTTATTTAATATAAAAATCCTTTTTCTTAATTTTCATTTGTGATTACGATCAGTTGTAACCAATTTAATAAGAATGCGTAAAGCCAATAAATTTCTATCGGAGTAAAAAAAGTAACATTATACGAGTGAATAATGGGTCATGCTAATAATAATTCCTCTACACTTATTGATACATCTATTAATTGAAGCATATATCGAATCTATGACGATTGCATAACTTTACATTCATCTTCATCACAGTACTTTTTTATGACCCGATCATCTGATACCTATTATTTGTCCGGTGTGCTTCTACCTGACTTTGTATATGAATTTAAAAGCATAAGTAGAAGCGTCCAAAACTACGAAAAGCTGTTAGAGAAAAAAAAGTAGAGACCAAAAACCACACTCTTTCCCAATTACTGGACTTGCCTGTAATTGTCGTATCCTCTTTCGTTATCGCGCTCGATTCTCATTATTTTCACGCTGGGCTGAATAACTTTGGTGAAGACAGTGGCTTCGTGGGTTGGAAACGGTGGAATGTCGTCTACCTCGTCAACGGGTCTCTGGTAAACTTCGTCGTTGCGGTAGTATCCGTTCGTTTTTTTTCCTCCGTCGCGATCATCTCGACCTCTCTGAATAGCACAAAAGAAGTTGGTAACAACAATCCGCTACAAATGTGTTGTTTTCAATACTCACCAATTGTTTACTCCTTCCATTATCGATATTTTGAGCATATTCTCGAATTTGACGTTCGGCTCTCTCAAGCCTGTTCTCCTGATCGTCTTGATCGTTCAGCGAATCATTCATGCTGTTGCGCTTCTCCTTCATTTCGGGCGTGGGTGAGCGCCAATTCGCTGAAGTTGACACGTTTTTCGGCTGCAATTCCTTCTCGTTGATGGTCATAGTTGTCGTTGTCACGTAGTGCTTAGCTAAAAATACATTGACAAATACTTGTACAATGTGCGATGAACATGTTTTTGTACAAGCAAACCGTTATTGTAATTAAGCGCGCATGAAACAACAGTACGTGTGCGACGAGGCGTATAATTCACGATACGTAATCGTAGAAATTATGCCAACAGATCTATCGTAGACCGATAAAAAATACCTTTACTATAGCTATGCGATAGAATTGCTTATGTATATCGAGTTCACGGTCAACATTACGGGTTCGACAAACGCTTAATTGCAATTTTAAAAACAATTTGTATTATCCTCGAACCTTGCTCTTTTTCTGGTATGGTTTGGGTGCCATCGTGTTTTGTTTCTCCATAACGTGGCTTCATCAACAAGTCGATGATGAAAACTAAGCCAGTAATAAGGCACAAACCACCAAGTACTGCCGCATTGTCGATCAAGTCATAGGGCACGCTGTCGATCGAAGCCAGCGACAAAGCGCCTACAATTCCAAACAGTATGATACCAACGCCTAGAAAGAGGACTTCCTGTGAAAAAAGCCAAGTACTAATTTTATTACTATAGTTTGATAATTTTTACAGGTACATCACTTATCTTGTAAGTATTACTTTTTGCTCCGTGCTAGTAGTGATGAATAAGTACGCTGATTATAATAGAAGACATATTAACACCATAAACAATAGAATTTTTAAAAAGTTATAAGCGAGTAAAACAGCCAAGCCTATACGAGACGATAGGCCGGTAGGGGGCAAAAAAAGTGAAAAGTCTCAAAGAAATCCACGTCCTTGTTGCAACGGCTCAATGTCGTAGCCGACGCCTCTCTTTGCATAAATACGCGTTCTCACGCTTCAGATGCTGCTGTATTGCTCGAGACGATGTCGACCTATTTATTTATATTATGTACTCGTGATTGGTTAGTCACACAATTAGTAATACGTTACGTGAACGCTTGAGCGCATTTGCATACTATGAAGAGGTAAAAGAACTGCGATGCTCTGATTTCGGGTGGCTATTTGCTTTTTCAATTTACAGCTATAATCGACAAACACGCCGAGTAAAATATATATTGTTTAAATATGCATATTCGCGGCTGAAATAATGCTAACAGTTGAGACTTGTTCGAGTTTAGATTTTTCATCAATTTACACAATCGAGGCATTATAGAAATTTGAGAAAAACTCAGCGCCCGACGATTTTCATTCAGGATATCTTGTCAGTATGTAACGATTATTAATGGCAATTATAAATCACGCTGAGTTGAACGCGCGCGTGCATTCCAATATCAAGCGTGAAAGGCCCGTATGGAGATATTTTCTTAGAAGAAAACAATCCCACCGAGATAAATTTGCACCGATATATAGGTCATGTAAAATTATGTTTTTGAAAAAAAAGGTAAAGTAATCGCTCGAAAGCGCAAACAGCGTAACTGATTTTGGATTTTAATAGTACGGGTGAGGCAGGAAGGAATGAATCAAGGAACGAATCCTCGCATACAATTCATTTAACAATTAATTGTAAATGCACGCAAACGTGTACGTACGTAGCAGAAAAGTATTATGAGAAAAAAGAATGGCAAGTAAAATAACAAAGAGACAGACTTATAAGTGTACACGAGCGCAGACACACACACACACGTGCGCGCGCGCCTATGTTAAGGATTATTTACCGTCTTTCGGCCTCTGATTTCACCGGTTGCTGCAGCGATGAGCAGGCCCGTGCTTATGATAATATAGCCACCGCAGGTCGCTGATGCAAGAGCGGCACCTGTGAACATGTGTTGCGCATATACAATACCCGAGCACAGTTGAATGCCATTTCTTGTCCCGTTCGCGTCTTTCAGACTTTAACGCGACTCTGTGTCATGTTTTTGCGTAAATATAGGGCGAGAACATTCAAGCAAGCGAGTAAAAGTGAAATTTGCTAAGTTTATGACTTTGTCAACCGGCTATTGATGAATTATCATGAGTTTTTCAAAGGAAATCTTGACACAATTTTGATATTGAAGGTGTGACATTTTTAGCAAAAAAGAACTTGACGTTTTTTTTCAATGATTGAAACAAGAAGAATTACAAATGTAAACAAATGTGATAAAAATTTCCGATGATATGCTACGTTACGCTATTACTTTCTACAGCAAACGGGTTATTGTGACCCTTGTCATAAAATCAAAGAAATAAAAAAACTCATATCATAATAGCCGGGAGTACGGGTCTTTTTTCCACCAGGAATTGCGAAATGTCAAGCTCGGCGCATGAGAACGTTTTCTTATGAATATAATGTTGAATAATGCTAAGATAAAACGAGAAAAAAGGACGAATAATACAATAATGTTCCTTACCGATAGTGCCCCACGTGACATTATTCAAGAGTGACCACTCGAGGCTGCGATTACGCAAATAATGGAAAACTCGTCTGCTTTCGTCGTCCGTCACTCTGAGTGCCACGGTGCATGCGATGCACAGCAGCTACAAAACATTAGCAAAATTATGGGAAATGGCGAATTAACCGTATACGAGTTAACGAATCGTGAGCAACATTTTCGGAGGAAAACTCGAGGTGTGCAATAACACAAGTGCATTGAAATATGTTGGACTCGTAGAATCCAAGGTTCTTCTCACGACTGCTCAAAACAACAAAGAGATCGAGCAACGATTTTCATTTTGCAGTATCTTATCGTGAACCGTATAAAAATTAATAAAATGTTTACTAACCACTTCGATTATCCTTATGAACACTTTACGGTTCCACATTATTGTCGAATATTCCTTACGTGAGTTTACTCAGATTCGTATACTCTTGCACTTCTCATAGGTCAATGTATAGCTATTTTGCACTATAAGACTGCAATGAGATAGACGATGGGTGCATATAGAGATCAAGTAGCAATAGGCAGCATAGCTGCATATCCGAGTTTTTGGCTTGAATTATTTTAATTTTCAGAATTATCCAACCGTGTATGATTAAGTCACGTTTTTCTCGACAATATGTGTAAGAGAAACTGTCGTTTTTTGTGGTTTTTCTTCAAACGATCTCGTATCGCTCGCCAATCAAAAAGAAATTGCAACTAAATATTTCCATCAGGATACGTTGCGGAGAAGTTTGCAAAAATAAAAAAAAATACTGATTCTTCAGGAAATATTTCTTGGGACGCTGTTGCTCGAAGCTGAAAAGACACACATGCACGACACGCGCACGCACACACGCACAGCGAGCGGCTCGATTTCGAACGAGTGCGCCTGGTCGCGCGTACGAATCAAGACTGAGGCACGATACAACGCTCCGCAGAACCGTCAACCGCATACCAGCTAAGCACAACTGTTGCGAGATAAAAGGTCTCTAACTCGGTTGTTGTTGTTGCTATTTTACCTCATACGTAATACTTTTATGTATCACAGACACATGCTGCGCCTCGTGTAAATAATTGTCGCACGCATAATAAGTATTAACGTAAAGAGTAAACTCGACATCTACTCGCGATTTTTTCGATTCATGTTGTGACGGGCTTGGGTCATGGTCATTTTTGAGTTTTGCTAAAAGATGTACTTTCATCACATGTGCACATCAAATTTCTTCGGTATTGTATATTACATCAATGAAAAGACAAACGAGTGTGGAAATCACTGCGCTCCTGTGTATTGTAGCACTCGAAGAAAAGCGAGCATCGCGAATGTTTAATGGCTTGGTTTCTTTGGTTCTATTCTTCAAGTATATACTTTACTAATATATATGCGACATACCTGCATGAATACTTGATGTTATGTTTTGTATGTGCATTTACGCACCATGTGTAGTAATAGAGAATAACGTCCTTAATGTATACAATACAATGTAAGTTTTACTTCTGTACCTGCATTGTGTAATTGAAATTGAGTTTGTCGGATACTTACAAATGATGAGGATCATAAAAATCAATTGTGTTTATTAGTTTCATACTAATTGTGGGTCATTGCTCGTCACGCCGATGTCTCATGTGTAGATACAATATGCACCTATACCTAGTCACTAGAAAATCACTCGCGATCAGTTTGCACACACTCACATAATTATAGATTAAAAATACGTTTATCATCTCTGATCGAATTCGATTCTGTTCGTTATTTTTCCAAAAATTATCATACACATTAAACGATCGCTACTTTTGAAGCGCGAGGCCAAGAGCTATAGAGGCTAGTTTGTTTTTCGACGAAACATATACAGTTAACACACATTGACTGCAGTCTGCCCAGACCTTTGCCAGTGAACTACATCGATCAGAAATCCTTTTCCCGCTCTCTGCCAAAAATCAAAGACTCTATCGGCCTCGGTGAACAGTTGTCGCTCGCCTCTCTTCGATTGGCTGTTGGCAGAAAAATCGCCGAGGGCGCTCGACGCAATCACCCCGAAAATTCCACCTGATTGACCGTGCACGCCTGTATACGCGCCTTCGTAGTGTCGTCGTCGGACGTGTCGATGCCTCCTCGCCTTCATTTCGAGCCCCGATCGTCGGACTGTGCGGACGTCGCGATTCGCGTGCCTTAACTTTTTTCATTTTTTTTTTTTTTAACTTGTGCACACGCTTGTGTTCTTGATCATTGTTAAATATTATAACTGAAAATGCCCCAGTTGAATATGAATTCACATAGTCCAGTGGTCAACGTTAAACAATTTGACAAGATGGAATTCAGGCTTGATCACGTCAATACCGACGAAGACGACAGCGACGTCGAGGAGTGCATGCAACGTCGAATTCCCAAGATTTATAAACGTCTTGAAAAGATTTCACCAGGTTAGTACATTATTTTATCTTGCTTGTTTTATGCTCGGGCGGTAGCCAGCTACGATCGTTACCGCTTCCTACGTTGAGATTTCGTATCGTCACTTCCGAGAATCTGATTTTTTTGGTTAAAGGCTATTCTTTTAAAACAATATCTTATTGAACTTGCTTTTATTGACAAGCTAGCGTGAAACCCCATTCTCAAAAATAATGCCAGAAAATTTCAGAAAATTACAAAAAAGAAATCAATAGTAAAATCGATTATTAAAAATGGCTGATGGAATTGCTTCTTGAAATCTTATAAAATTCCTCAAGTCTTGATAGAATTTATAAATTTTTGACCACCGATTTTCTCTTAGCTTCACAATTAGTCTCCAGATCTAATCTTGGTAGCTATCTGTTATTGTTTTTAAGTTGACGACTCATACTAAAAAAATTTATCCCAGTCTTTTTTCATTATCTATTAAATATTGAATTAGTAATTGTAAAACTTTTCCTTTACAGAATTGCAAAATAAAAAATCAAGACATTACATGGATTTTGTACCGTCTGAGCCAATGTTAAGCATCCATGATCAATATAAGATTCATGAAAACATTTTAAAACTACAAAATCAAATAGGAATGGAAATAATTCAGAAAAATGGTCAAAGAAAGTTGGGTGGTCCACCACCTGGTTGGCAAGGACCAGTGCCAGGCCCAGGCTGTGAAATTTTTGTTGGTAAAATACCAAGAGATATTTATGAAGATGAAATATATCCATTATTCAGAAAAATTGGAGAAATTTATGAGATGAGATTAATGATGAATTTTTCTGGAACCAATAGAGGCTTTTGTTTTATCATGTATGCCAATCCTGAACTTGCTCAAAGAGCAATTAAAGAATTAAATAACTATCCGATTCGTCAAAACTGGTTTTTAGGAGTAGTAGAAAGCGTAAATAATTGTCGCTTGCATGTAACAGATTTACCATCTCGTATTGATGCTAAAACAATTATTAAAGTAAGTTGAATAATCACATTCATATTTTATCTGACTTAAAAAAATATTATAATATTTATTTTAGAAAATCTGGCCTGTCTGTGAAGACTTAGACAAAGTTTATGTTTTCACCAGTTTTAACCACTCGCACAGTAAGCATGCATTGATCACTTTTAAAACACATAGAAGCGCAGCAATGGCCAGAAGACGACTTTTACCTGAAAGACATAGATTTTTTGAAAAAGTTGATGTTAGAATTGAATGGGCTTATCCTAACATAGCTGTTTCCAATGTGGTGAGTATTAATTTTTGTAGATAATTAATTAAGTTTCTAAAAAACTGTCAGGCTTTGATTATGTTTAATCGTATTTTTTTAACATTTTATAAAAATCTAACTGTCACAATTTTGAAAAGTTCACAAGATAAAAAAATACGAAGTATGCATTTGTATTACCATGAAAAGGAAAAACACGGAGATTGTCAACGCACGATTCGCTATGCAAGACATTCCGACGTAGAAACAAAGATAATGACAAGTCACAACATATCGCGTGTACGCGAAAATAGAACGTGGGTACTTTCGCTCAGTAACTTGTTTTTTCTATCCGCGCTGAACTGTAGTCTGTGTTTCTATTGAGGTCCTATGGTGTCGACCTTGCTATTCCCTTTTCATAATTTTCTTTAAAATCTTATCGTGAACAGAAATCGAATGTTTGGATAATGTACATGGTATTGCAAATCAACAATAGACAGAGATCTTCTAATTTCAAAAGATCAAGATTTTATCTCGTTAATCACCGCTGTTGTCAATGAAATTAAAAAAAAAATTATTCATATAAATATATGATTTAATTCATCTCAGCAAATTTTGGATTAACTTTGACAATCAACAAGTTGAATAAATTTTGAAATTGCACTCGATTATAAACTTCTATTTGATTTTTAAAACCATTCTTTGCAAATTTTATTCTAATGTTATTTTCTGTAAATCAAATTGAAAAAAAAGTTTTAGTTTAGTAAATATAAAAATTGCGCCTATCGAATGGCAAAACTTCGTCTACCTGGACATACATGGTAACGATATAGAAGCTTATACAACAAGTGTACTGAAAAGTATAGTAGTGGAAGGCAACATCAGTCGTCGAATCGCCGGTTCAAGCATACGTTGCAGTTCGTGAAATCAGCTGACTGTGTACACACCGCAACGCGAGTGTAACATTTTTTTTTCGTTGAACAGTTTTACCGTTAAAATGTCTGGTCAAAATAGTGATTATTGTGACTACAGAAGCCCTTTTGCTACTCGTTATGCCTCGAAAGAAATGAGATTTAACTTCAGCGATCAAAAAAAATTTAGCACGTGGCGTAAATTATGGATCTATCTTGCCAAGGCCGAAATGGTTCGTTAGTTCAGTTCTTTAAATTTACGTGTGGTTGAGTCTGATTGAGTGAAAGTCTGACTGTAGTGAAAACGTTTTTACTCGATTTGATTGAAAAAAGTCATTAGCTCTACAAAGTAGAAATAAATATTGTTTATCAATACTAAACTTGAGACCCCCCAGGGAATATCTTACGAGATTCGTCCGGAAAATAAGTCCGCCTAATCGCTTATTTACGTCTTGATTAGCGCTATCTGTAGTAACGTCTCATACAAGTGGGCATATTTTTCCTTTTTGTGGTAAAATATTTCTTTTGCAGTATATACATAATTGTATTTAATGATGGTTTTTTCGGAACTTTTTATCTGAAATATATTTTATTACTTAAATAAATTTAAATAAACCTTTTTAATTTTCATTTATAAGATGGAAGAGTGTGCATTTTGTGATGCTGATGGACAATTTAAAATAACTAAGAGAATTATTGAACATAATCAGAAAACACATACTGAAGAACATGTAAATAGAGCTGCTTTGAAAAATTCTTATAAAAAAAAATATGCGTACAACAATCGTTCTGCAAAATCTCATCATGTAGATTTTGATAATAATAAATATAGAAGTAATAATCATCCATTAACTTCAACTCCCATTCATGGTCGCAAAAAAGACATAAATGGTGATTCTCAGTTAAAAAGTACCAAATGTAGTATACAAGATGATAGTTATTTTAGTAAAGATATTTTTACTGAAAATAAATTTAAACTTATAGAAGAAATGAAATATTCAAATAGATCTGATGAATCTTTATCTGACTTCTCAAAAACTTCAGACAGTGATGATTTCAAAAATAGCTATTGCTATCAAAATATGCAATCTCAACAATTTTTACCGCAATATACAGATCACAATAACTGCTCTGTTATTAGGTTACCATGGAGTACCAATCAATACTGTGTTAATGATATGCCAGCCTACAATCAGAATAACTTTTACAATGTTCAATTCCCATGGCAGATTGTCAATTTAAGCAATGTTACAACTAATTCTATACAGTCTTTAACTTTGACACCTATACAGAACACAGTCAGAATGGGAAATTCTTTTTCTAATAACTCTGTGAATATGGCTAGTATGAAAGCATATTACGATGATAGTCAAGGTGTCAGACCTATTCTAAGCAGAAACTTTTTATCTGGATATTGAAAACTTTTAAAATAATTCAGAAACTTTTTTTAAATATTAATCATTGTAACGCATATCGATTGGTACCTCTTATAATATGATTGTGAATTTATTTATTTAAAGCCTATTTTTTTCTGGTCAAGGTAGTACCAAAACCAGGTTGTTAATGATAATTTTGCATAATATCTTCTGCATTGTGTTTCAATATAATAATACCAAAATTTTATTCATGTAGTTTATATTATAAAAATTATTAGTCAAAAGATTATCATTAATACTCTGTTTTTGACTTCCTCCCAATGTACTAGCAAAGATGAAATTTTTTCCACTTTTTATCATCATTTCAATAAGATTTCTATATAAAAGTCATTTATATAATAAGACATAAATGATTATGTAAATTACTATTTTTTAAGAATCATGACATATTTATGACATCATTTTTTATACTATAATAATAAGGATCAAGTTTTGAAGGAAAATCATTCTCAATCATACTTTGTTAAGTATTTGTTACAAAATTTCTATGTTAATTAAGATTTTATACAATTTGATTAAACTAATGCATACTCGAAAAAGAATGCCTAGCAGATTTTTATATCTAATGTAGTTAATGAACTACCTTGATGTATGTTGTTTTGAATTTTTAAATTTATGTATTAATTGCTACAATTATGTAAAAAGTAAATATAATTCATTCTTTATTTGAAATTAGCGTCAAATTGACATGTATGAACGTGTACAAGTAGTGTTTCAATCAAATTAGATTTCATAAGCTACCCAAGTTTTTTAAAAGAAATAGTGATTTATAATTTATGAAAAGAATTCAATCACTTATTATAATCGAATTTCATTGATTTTAATTAAGACTAGTTTTATACTTAGAAATTTTAAAGTTGTCTTACGAAGTTATTCTTGATGTTTTTCACGTATATGTTTTTAAATAATGTATTTAAAATTTGTTTTTTAATTCAATAAAGCATGTTAAATGAAAATGGGTATCCATGTATTAATATTTACTGATATTAGTTGGTGAATCCCATTGAACTAATATATCTAGGAGACTTGAAGGTTTTATTATATCCTTAAAAAAAGTAAGGTGAAACTAGCACTTATGCAGCTAAGCTGAAACACACCCGATTCATTAAATAACCCCTATAATAGACAATGCTCTAATCATTAAATGTTAGTTTATAAAAGATGAAAAAAAAAACAATTTTTTATTGAAAACCAGGACTCAGAATGTGTAAAATATTTCCGGCGGAGGTAGGACATAATATCTACGCGTGAGCTACGTCTATTACAGTATCAATATTTTTTCACTTGCACACGGTTTTTATGTTTTGAAATTATGTTCAACGTATTTTGCGCTCAGTCGAGCTGTACGATAATGTAATTATACGCTAGAAACTTATAGTAATTGTTGTAGTTACTCGTATGGTAACTTTTTTATTTTTCACTTTACATGTGTGGTCAAGCGAATTACGTAACGCTAGCTTTACATTATGTTTACGAGCGTTATTGAATAACAGTATAGAGTTGATGTGGTTGATATGACTTAATAACCATAAAGAAAAATGAGGACTATGTCGAGAATAAATAAAAGCGCACAGCCTATGGACAGAATGGCGGCTACGAGCACTCTCCACACCTTCACGACGTCGTCTTTCTTCGAGATTATTATCAAGTAGGTGCTTGACAAAATGAACAGCAGGGTACCAAACATCCCCAGCAAAAACATCTGAAAATGAGTTTGAAATGTTGGAGTTGAGGTTTTTATACATTTGTCGACGAGGCTAACCGGTGTATCGGGAATCGGATCGCTGCCACATTGGCTCACAATGTCGACAAGTGTAACGAGCAAGAAGAGACCGGCAAGTCCTAATAATCCAGCTGCTTCGGGTTGGCCAAAAGGCGAGTCATGCCACACGATGTAGGTTATTAAGGAGAAAAAAAGAGCTACTAAAATCTAGAAGATATCAAATTAAATCAATCACTTTTCAACTGCATTTGAGATATGTTGGGGAAATTTACAAACTGAAACACTCTGATGGGCTTCGCCAGAGGCACGTTGGCTGCGTGATTGCAGCTTTGCATAGGCGTCGCGTATATTGGCCCAATCATTATTCTTATTCACTCAGGCTATAATAATTTTGATAACAAATCCACCCTTTATGAATATCGCGCCTTAGGTTAGGTTAACTTGTTCTTTTCAATAATAAAAAATTGGTCGACAACATTTGTTTCAATTTTACGTTTATTAAATCATCTATTATTTTTAATAAATATATACTATTTGCGAAACAAGGGAAATATGCCTACTAAAAACTCTGTATAAATATATAATATATATTGTTTGTCTTACATTAAATTAAAATAATCCTCGTCTATCATTTGTTCTAAACAAGAAAAAAATATTCGTTAATATTTGTCGTTGGTTAGTACGATCTTTGCGAGGCACAAATGGACTCAATATATCTAGATATTACACATGTAAAGTCCGTAGCGTATTGTTTGATTAATTTTTTGAGTAAGTTTGCACCTCTACGGATGTATTTGATCACAATTAAGAAAACTCTGTGGGTGCTCATTAATTACGGTGAATATAATGTTCTATTTCAAATTAAACTTATCTTGAGATATGTCTCTTTTGTAACCAAGTAGTTATATGAATATATTCTGATTGTTGTGAAAATTTCATAATCATCACTCAAAATAGTTGACTAAATATACGCAGTCAAGACAAAGACAACAATTTAATTTTTGCTTATTTGCAAGACGATTCCTAAAAAGCGATTGATTATGCTTTAACAACTTATACTCTATAGTTAATTAGTCAATAATGGACGGAATGGTTTGATAACGATAGAGTTTTTTCTGAGAAATTCTATACATCTATCATGATAAATTACGTATTTTTTTTTTATAGGACGGATAGTTTTCTCGGCACAATTAAAGCGCCGTTTTTAGCGTCATTTCGTATTTTGTGGTAACTATTTTTAACAGAAAAGTTTAAATTTATATTGATAGCTTTTAGTAATGCTTTCCGAAATGAAATGCAAAAATGGTGCATTGTACTCGACGAATTTGTACAATTTATGTTTTTTTTTAGTAGAAAAACGGAAAGAAATGAAGATTTTTCCTCTCGAGAGTTTACATTATATTACTTGTTTTTTGCTTTGGGATATTAGCATACTGTTATTACAAGTATATATAAATCATAAATATATATATCTATCAAAGTGGACTTTACTTATGTATTTTTCCACACAGCAATGAGCGAAGAAAAGAGAACAAATTCACGCATTCAAATATTATAATTGCACTTTTTTGTGGACGGATTAATTGTGGAGCAAAATGAACGCTGCTCGGGCCTGATTTGTTGCCCATAAATGAAAAAACACTCGGTGTATAAAATAAATCAAAAATAAAAACAAATAATGGCTATAGAAAAACTATTGTCTAAGAAAGATACTTTTCGTTAAACGACACGGTGGAGTGTATGAATGGCGATGTGAAAACAGACCAATATACACGCTTAAAGGAGTGCAAATCTATATTACGAGACATGGCACTCTCTTCGGATCTTGGGCTTGGCTGCTGGCTTGGTCAGGATGGCTCTTAGCAGTATCTGATGGTGTAAAAGACATCAACGCCGAAGACCAGGGCGTCGACGAAGGTGAAAAACGAGCCGGCGATGAGCATGTCGGCGTACTGCTTGCTCGCGTACGTGTTGTCGTTGTACACGTAGGCGTAATTGCTGTGGAGTTTGCGCCAATTGTGCACCATGAGGCTGCCTGCGACGAGGTGAAGGATCGTGCCGACGCCCGTGAACAGCAGAGACTGCAATTATACCGGCACGTAAGGCTCTCTTGCCCGTTCAACTCACCGATTACACGATCAATTTGGTCTGCATGCGTATTACATACCGTTCGTTTTGGCATGCGGTCGCCAAGCAGATGCCCGATCACCAGGACGGAATTGATGATGAGATAACCAGCCAGCGTCACGTAGATCAGGGCGATGTCGTCGAGTTTGGGTTTCGGCTGATGAAGGAAGATCTGGTGGAACGAGTTGAAGGGATCGACTATCAATCCAACCGCGAACACCGCCAGCACCTGTGGAGCCAGTCCAAAAACCAACATGCGTCATTATCGATTGTAGTTATACAGAGCTCACGAGCCAGCTTGAACGCATTACTAATTCATCGACAACTGGGGAGAGCCATAGATTCGCGTGGCTGCCCCTATCGATCGATTTAGCCGATCTTCGCGCACGTACGCGCATATAAGTAAATAGAGTCGAGCCGACCTGTAGCTTGTGCCGGCTATATACCAACAAAGACTAATCGACCTGCAGCTTACCCTGTGCTCGATTCTTTCCCTCGCAAATAGGCCACACGAGCCTATGCACGTTCTGCATCCTCATTTGTACGAACAAAGAGCTCGCGATAATTAAACTGAATATTGATCAAATTTACCACTTCGGCGACTTTGAACATTATGGATCTGGTATTGACGACATCGTAGCCATCGACCACATCCTTTTCGACGTGGGAGCTCTGTTGAATACCACCCTCGTCCGCCATCCTCACGCGTTTGTGTCTTCCTCGCCTGTCGCCCAGTTTGACAATCTCGAGTTAATTTTCAGATGAGCGTGTGCCTTGCTTTCGTCTTGCTGCTGCTGCTGCTGCTGACACAAAAAGTTAACGACAATTTAGTTTCGCACGAGCTTACATTGTCCGACGTATCCATTTGTTTTCCACGGCTTTAGTCCTTTTTATTCGCCAAAGTGTCATTGAGATTTTTTTGTTAGCTCGGAACACACAAAGGTGTGTGACGTGTTCGATGCAGTACCGGCTTCACCGTTATACGAGCATGTATCAATAACACGATCGATTACCTTCGCAACGGTTCATAATTTTTAATGTTTCGCGCTCGTAAACCTAAAGATATAAAAATAATATGTGTGCAGTCATTCGATTTCAAGTTCTTCAGCGCTGTGTCGCATTTTAATACAGATCAGCCGACTTTATATTCGAGTTTGTTTGATGTATGTACATATAACTATTCGTGCGATCGCGTACTCCAGTGTAAAGAAAAAAATGCTAAAACATTACGTAAACAAACAAACGAAGAAACGGCGGAAGTGTATAATTTTGCCTAGGTGCATCTAACGACTGGATAATTGCAAGATTTGTTCGAGCCTCGCTTCGTTTGTTTTGGAACGCTTGGCCTACTTGATATCGCATGAATTTTATAGGAACTCTTTTGAGTTTTTTTTAATTTGATTGAAGCCAATTCAAATGGAAATATTCAAACACGTTTACTGAATTTTGTACATAATATTTTTTCTCAAGATTTTGTATGTGACGGCTAAAAAACAAACAAATGTAGACATATAAGTAGCTATTTGAATAAATATTCAGCGAAAAAGTCTCAAAAGATGTGTTGGAAAATATCATTTTTAGCCTGGCAACGGTACCTCCTTCACAATTATGACAATTAACGCTTGGTAGTAGTCGCTTAATTTTTGAGTACACAATACTGCGCAATAGCACTTTCAAGGTTTTTTTTTAAAAAGCTGTAAAATTTAATTTCGCCATCAAAAAGAGGCGAATTTTTCATAATTTTGGAAACATAATATTTAGTTTCAACACAATCGATTAAACACGCACGTGCTCATTGAAATACGAGTCGATCGTTTCTTGCTTCTACGTAGTTTTAACGTAACGCAACGTGTGCTATTTTGCATACATACGCTTTATAAAAATTTTTTTTTCTAGCATTAGAATAATACGAACGAAATGGTGGGTCCGCAGTAGCACTGATATTTTGCGCGTCTTTTCTCTCGTGCGTCGATGTCGCTGGTGGCTCGATTCGAAGCGTTGATAAATACGCAAACATTTTTACGCCAGACAATGCTAATTGTCCGACCGATAAAGCCCAATTATGAAATAAACGCATGGCGAAGCTTTTGCAACTTTGTTAGTCGACTGAAAATTACCGATGCCGATCAATGAGAAATCGATGCGATCATGAGAATAAGTAAGCTTTCCCTTGCGCGCCATATACCTTGCTAGTGAGAGTAATTTTCATTGAGCTTGTAGTAGCAATAAACTAAAAAAGCTCCGCTGCCGATGTAGCGAGGATTTGAAAAAAACCATACACACGCCCACCAATAAAATACTCATAATATAACGCGATAACTAAACTTTGTTTAGCAATGCTGCGGTGACACTGAATTATTGAATTTGAAGGATTCAAAACTTTCATCGATGTAGAGGAAAAGTGTTAAACCAAAGCAAATTGAATGCCACGCGTGGAAAAGTGAAACAAGACGCATGAAATGCACTGCAAAAGACGGTGTTGGTTTTGCAGCAACAAGTGTCACGATGCTCCGAAGTCGCGCACGACGCTCAATATATCTGTACATGGGCGCGTGAACAACAGACACTGGGTACGGCGAAAGAAGAGGCAACGATACCAGCCGAGTTATCGGCACAAAGCCGTCGGCACGTAACCTCCTCGATGACCAAGATTTGCATACGATTCCGCAAGGCGGGAATTAGAAACTTTGGGCTAGCAACTGGGCTCCAAACACACGCCCATATAGTCAAAATGTTGCGACTGTCGCGAATCGAAAGGAAAAACATAGAGGAAAAAAAAACTGCAAGCGTGCTATACACGCACGCGAGTGAATCATTCAGTGCTATGCGCTGCAGAGTGGGTGTGTATGTGTGTGTCCACACAGTTACGATATGGCGTATAGTGCAGTGTACGTGTGTGCGTGCGTGTGTGCACATAGAGACGGTGCACTGCGCGGCGCATACCTGATCCGCAGGTAGTAAATACGCCGAAAGAGTGAGAGAGAGAGAGAGAGAGAGAAATTGACACGGCTCTCGCGCCTATATACGAGCGAATATATGTGCTGTGTATACCGCGTTATACCTTACCGAAGGAACGACGGATTTTCGCTTTCGCAAATCTCTTGTCCCCTCTCAATGGCTCCGATGGATTCGATGCTTCCGATGGCTTTTTTTTTTTTATTAAAATTCTACGAGTACGTATAGAAACACTGACGGGACACAATGGCAAATAATACAAGTGTCGTTGGCGCGACACACCGAGCTGAGAACTGCACTCGGGAGCCGTACGAGCTATATGAATGCGGGACGACGGCGTGAGTTTAACTGGAACGCCGACGCGTTCTGTTATATGCGTGTGCCACTCTTGACTCTGGCGCGGATAGGATATACAACATCGTCACGAAAACATGTACGCTATAAGCTCTCACGGACGCGCAGGCTGTGTAGCCTGTAGTGGTGGCTGCGCGCGCAGACACACACGCCCGCCAGCCCCGTTTAAATCCATCTCCTTTCCACTTGCACTATACGTGTGTATACATGGAATGATAAAAGTCGCTTGAACCTTACTACGCTCGATCGCGCCGTGCAGTGGGCCTCGGTGCCTTCTATACTTATATCCTACCTACCATACGTGTCTACGCGCACAGTATACCTGCGGTAAACGCGATTCTGAACCGATTGATCGCTGCGAGCAGCTTGTGCTAGCGCGATCGGCTCCTGGTACTTAGCCCGAGATCATTTTCCCTGCGCCGCGATTATTCGATAGCGCCCGGCAAAGACCAAACGAAAAGCTCCTACTCACCGTGGCATCTGCTTTGCCCAAGTACACGAGTCGAGCTTCGATGCGGAGCGAGTAGTGCAGCTCGCGACCGATTTATGCGAGCGCGCGCCCCAAAGACGGAGCATCGACGATTTTTGCGAGCGACTTATCTGTATGCCTAAATATACCGAATCGTCACCATTGTTCTCGCGCCTATACACCATGACAATGACGAAGTATTACAAGCTGCTTGACGACTGCATCGTACGAATCATGTCCGCCTCGAAATTCATGCACGGTTTTTTCGCGCCTCTATCTCACAAGGTCTCTCATTTGTTTAACCCACAGCACCTTGCATATTTTACCTCCAGGCAAATTGTAAAGTGACCTTTTTGTGACAATTGGAAAACGCCCAATACATATCCATCACGGTCATTTTTATCATCGACGCAGATATTTGTCGATTCGATTAACCATGCGGTAAGTCGCGCTCTCGACTGAATTTTACCCACATTTAACTCGTCAGACGTCTTATAATATATTATCAAAGAGTAGGAGCAGTAAAATAGACTTTTCAAGCACTTTTAAATAGGGCGTAAGGGAGTAAGGGACTCGATACATTTCGAGTTACACTTGGCTACCTCCTTTGACTGTTATTGAATCTTTAAAAAAGAAAAAAACTAATAACTATTAAATAAATACGAGAATAATAACTAGTCGCCAATAGTTGTACTTCTCTTTTAGCTCTTTAAACTCAATCATATTACAGCAATGTTTTTGAGCTTGTGTTTGTTAAAAAGCCATATCGACTCCTGTTGAATTATAGATCCGAATTCCATTTGGATCGAAGTAATGTCATTCAGGGTCATTAATGAAATATTTTGGAAATTTTGTGATTTACTTGGTTGCAACGCGCTGCATGGAGTGAATTAGTTGCGTCAAGTCGATGCATTCGGCATGTACACTATGCGAGATTCCGCCGTTGACCTAGATATAGCTCATTGCCTCGTCGGCTCGCGCAGTACATGTACTTGCGCTCAAATGCACGATGATGCAGCGCGCACCTGGTCATTTTTCGCGAAAGACCCTCGCATCGCTGCTGTGATAAGATTTCTCCCACGCCCATTATAACAAACTCCATGTCTCGATTAAACAATTTTTTTCTAATATCGAAGATTCGTCTGGCTGACCATAAAGCGCGAAAGACAGCTGTCAGGCGATTCCCGCACATGTCATGGTCGCTACTCATCAGTCCACTTAATTATTCCACGCAACGAAAGGAAATAATGAGCGAGTAAAAAAGGCGAGCAAATTGTGAAAAGTTAAGCTGGTGGTTTGTTAGGTGAGGACGCTCGCTCGAACGAAATGTGCGATCGATATTGCGCCTGTGTGTTATGCACCTCTACTCGTAGGAGCGAGAAACGCGACTCGCGAGCACAACAACGCAAGCGAGCTCAACGACCTCTTGATTGATCCTCAGCTGGCCCACACAATGCCGTACTCGCGCGATGCGTAATTTGACGGGAATTCGTACTCGAGCGATTTGTCGAAAAAAATTAAGTCTCGCGAGCAGCCATTCTCTTACATGTCTTACAGCTGATTGTCTTGAATGAACTTTAAACGCTCGTTCGAGCTTTTCCACGATTCGTTTGCTTCGGCAAAGAACCCTGGGCGCCCCGCCTTAAGGGAGGGGTGTTTCACTATTTTCCGACTCATTTTTCAATCGATTTTTTTTAATCAAATTTAAATGTCTATACCTTCAAGAGTCCTGTGTTTTGTCATTAATCCGAGAAAATTTAACGTCATTTTAATGCACTATCTCGCATTTTAGCGTTTTTTACATCAACATTTATGAAAGAGCCTCCTAAAAAATTGCATTTTTAGTCGGTGTAATGTAACTCAAAAACTTATGAATCGATTGTTCTGAAGTTTTACACACACTTTCTCATTTCATTTTACAAGGTAGTGAAGTAAAGATATATTCAGTTTTTGTAATATTTTTTATCAATGTTTTTTAATTTGGAAAACGTAATTTTTTATATTTTTTTGGTATTTTTTACTTTCAAAGTGATGCCAAATGTTCAAAAATCCTTACTATGGCAAAAACTTATCGTCAATTCATGAATTATTTAAACTTGAAATTGTTTTAACTTTTCGCTCAAAAACTGTTTTTATCAGTCCCTACCACTTCATTCTAAATAATTGATGACGTATTCACAATTTTTCACTGTCTAATGACTTATCAACTGAAAAAATACATCATAATTTAAAAACCCGCTAATTTACAATGGAAATTCCATTATATAGTCAATGATTCGTAATTAATAGGTTCAGAAAATAGGGTATAGGGTTTAATAATGAAAAATAATATTTTTAATCCGCTTAAAGACACATGGAATCAAACCAACTATTAAGGACTTGTTTTTTATGTTCAAGTGACCCAAAAAAAATTGTCAGATCATTTGGTTCTCCGGAGGTGGGAAGGTCTCCTTGTGAGTACTCTTGAAAGGTTGTTCTTTAGACTAAATATTAATCCTATAAACGTATTTTTACCAGATTGAAAATATAAGCTTTTAAAATCATGCAAAAATAATAAAAAATGTAGTACACCCTCCTCAAACGAGGCGTCGTTGGAAAAAGCAGCTTAAGTTTGTTTCTTCACAAGCTACACGCTTGTATACGCGTGGATCGAGTCATTTTATCTCTCAAACCCCCTTATCTCTCAAACCAGCCCTAAAACATTATACAAATACCACGCTGTGGTTAGATTATAAATATCGATCTTGCCGTAACTTTTTCGTGCCTTGTAAACGAGATAAACTCGCTAAATCTGTACGGAAAACCACAAGTGGATTATCGTTTACGACAAGCACAAAATACCATCTCGATCCGTTGATTCAATAAATTTTTCGGACGACGTAGTGTCTACTTTTTAGCGAAATTTTCTCCTTACCATCCGGCGAGGGTATTACAAAAACACTTTCTCTGCTATGACGACAAATACATTCCCCGGGCTTTTCGTCATGCCGTGACGCTTAGCCCACAACGTGCTTATTTAATAGTTAAATTGCCGCATCTTCCGACCGGCTACTAGACGAGCAAAATAAAAATCAGCCATGGCTGTGCTCGCCTCTGCATTGAGGAGCGCGCCTCGCGCTCCCTCTGGCAAGTATGACAGAGAGAGCTGCGGCGTTACGCTACTCATATACACAGCATCGGCTTTTTTCGCTACCCGCGAAAACTATTTTTCACTCTCATTTGAAATTTATAATAGATATCCTAATTCTGAAAAGTGCTATGGATTCCTGAAGCAAAATCCAATCAATCCATGTATATAACGTCCCAAAAAATGTTTATAACTACGAAATACGAGCGATTGAAAGAAAAAAACACATCGAAAAAAATGTTATCACCTAAAAAGTGGTCTGACCGAAAGCGGTTCAGACCATTGGCTATGTTCACGCTAGTCACACAGCTGCTTTGCTGTTGATATATCGTACGTATATCGTAACGTATAAGGAAAAAAATATCAAAACCGAAATTGAGTTATGTTCATGTCAAAAGCTACAATGCATGAGTGTATAAAAAAAAAATATATATATGCTACAATTAATATAATTGAATGAATTACGTTCATGTCTCACCCAAAGCTATGCATAAGTGTATCAAAAAAATGCTACTATTAATATAATTGATTTCGAATGAATACGCAGGAATTTTGAACTAGGTGAAGATTTTTAAACTATCAACCAGGATGGCCCTCTCAGTGCCTCAGGTCGCAGTATAGACTCGGCGATGACTTTCCCCGAGGAAGTCCTCGTTTTTTCGCAAGATTATCCTCCCGGGTAGTGCGATCGATGCTCTAGGTATAAATGCGGACTCGACGATGACTTTCCCCGAGGAAGTCCACGCTTGTTCGCAAGATTATCCTCCCGGGTGGTGGCGATCGATGCTCTAGGTA